GGAACATATATTAATATTTGATAAATTATTTTTTTATATCATATTTTTGACTTACTGTATATAGTTGCAAAAGGCTTTCAATATATTTATATAATTTTTAATAAATATTTTGAAAATTGTAATCCTTGATTAACACAAGTTATCAAATCTAGAGATATAACTGTTAAGTAGGATATGACTTCAAAATCTTTTAATAGACACTCCAAAAAAATTTGATTGACTTAAACTATTAAATCTAGAGGTATAAATGCCAAGCAAAACATAACTCTTATATAAGAATAATATCAAAAAGATTACTTACATTATATATTAGTATTCATATCAACAATCTCTTTTAAGATTTTTTACTTTGTATTAATATATTATGCTATGGAGTCTATTATGCCAAGAAAGTTATAGGCTTTTATCAAAATTAGATCAGAAACCTTTTCTTATATAATTTTTCTTACTTTAATCTATTTTTAATCTATAATTATCAAAAAGATCAGAGGTCCTATCTTTATATAACTTAATTAAGTTTGGTTTGGATCCAGATATTTGAATATGACATCTGTAGGAAAATTGATAAATTTACAAATGAATAATGATTTATATATTTTTATCTCTTATGGATATTAAACTAGAAATTAAGTATATATATATTATTATAATAAAAAAATAATTAATATTAATGTTTTTAAAATAATATTTTAACAATTATGTTTTGAGAAAATTGTTAAAAAAGATAATTAATTCTTAATTTTATTAATTTATATTATTAGACCTGTGGGTCCATAGCACAGTGGGTATGCTTCCAGGTTACCAAATGCATGTCCCTAATTTAATATCCACAAGGGGCAAATGTACAAAAAATTATTCTTCATTTGTGGATTTATTAGTTTTCCTACAGATGTCGTACCCAAACATCCGGATCTAGTTAAAATTAGTTAGGCTGCATGAAAATGGGACCTCTGATCTTTCTGACGATCGCAGGCTGAAAACAGGTCGAAGCAGGAAAGATTGTATAAGGAAAGGTTTCTGGTCTAACTCCGATAAAAGCTCACAACCCCCCTGGCACTACAGACTCCGTAGTACAAAGAACACTCTAGCCTAGGGCTATCCCAATCCGGCGCTTGCTTAAAAGAAGAGGACCTTTGCCTGGAATCTGAAGCCGCAGGTGGTGACAAGAAGTAAAGTACCTTCTCTGAGGAACTAGGCAAAAAGTATTTGGGTTATCCGGGTGTTCTAATCAACCTAGAAAGGTATACACCCTTTGACAGCGAGCAGCTACAAGGTTGCTGAATCTGGACTTAGCAGGAAGGTTGGGTTTAAAACTGGTGGCAGGATTTCCCACCCTTGAATTTGTCCCACTTAATGTGCAGGCCTCACTTCTATAGTGGTAAGTTGGTATAGTTGGATTAAAATAGGTGGTAGGATGGGTTAACTTAAATAGACCTTTGATGTAATTGAATATTGGATATAAATAATACAATAAAAACCAGTACTCTAGTACCTTTCACCTTAAAAAAAAAAAAAATTAATTTATATTATTTTTTTATTTGTATAATATATAAAGAAAATATATAAATAAATAATATTAATAATAAAAAATAAAAAATTTTAACTCAAATAAAAATTTTCACTTATTTAATATATATATATATATATATATTTATAGATGAATATGTAACAATGCAAATCTTTATTAATACTTGTATAATTAGAAATATATTAAGTGTCTTTTACAATTGGAATAATTGCTTATATACAGTATATCGATTATATCTAATGATAGTTTTAACTATAACTAACATTGCATTGTCTAGGTGATAGCTTACTGTTTATCTTTTAAATCCAACTATAAGAATTATATATTAAAGGTGGATCCAACATGTTGGATAGAGTTTCTATAGAAAGGAATACCTATTACTAGTTTAAACCATCTAATCTATAACCCAGTTTCTTAAGAATTAATATTTATTTCGCAAAGATTAATAGGATTTCCAAATATCTTGATACTTTTTGTTTGGATTCTCAAAGAAAATACTTGCTTCTTGTTATCACTTGCAGCTTTGGTAAATTCTTTCCAGAGATCAACTTCTTTTAAACAAATGCTGAATTGGAATAGCTTCAAACTAAGAAATCCCAAGAAAGTCAAGACGAGACTTATTGGATACAACATATACAAGGGAATCTACACAACCTATATATAAAGCAGCTTCACAATGATCATTATATACCAATTAGGATAACCATTATACTACAACACCTTAATGAAAAATCATAATCTTAACATCTATTAAATCAATATATAAAATGGCTTCTTATAAAAAACAGCATATGATTAATTATAGTATCAGATATTATATTTATTCTATTTAATTATCTTTATATGGAATTGAACTGATATTTTGTAATTTGATTTGTAAAGCACTAATTACTGTGCTATATATCCACAGGTCTTTATTCAATATATATTTTAAATATATATATATATTTTTCTTATACTTTTATAACTTATTTAAATTTTTATTTGCAACTTTCTAAAAAACTCTTTCTGCTAATCCTCTTGCCAATCCAAAAACAGATGTTCTCAAAAATATTTTTTATTTTTGATAATAAAATCTATATATTTTCTTTAAAAACATTACTTCCTAAAGGCTGGTGCCTCTTCCATTTGTTTATTCTTTCTTTTTCAAAAAACTTTGAATATTTTAGTAACAAAATAAACAAAACTTTACCTATTTGATTTATGGCAAGAATACCTTATTGGAAAGAAAAAACCTGTCAAAAAATATTCTCCACGACTTTCTCTTTAGGTCTGAACTCTAGAAAGTGAACTACTAGTAAATATATTTTCTAAGTTCTATAAAAATCTTAGGTTCACTGTAAGCAAATACCTTCTGCTTGAAGCAAGTGAATAAACTAGTTGGTATCTATTAAGTGAATACAATTCCCAAGCTCCATAAGAATCTTGGGTCAATCATAAAATTCAAAACTCCTGTGATCCAGGTGAATAGATAAGCTGGTAGGAGTCTACCTATTTAAGTATATGACTTTTTTTTATCAATCATATATATCTGTGGTAGTACTTTCAAGTATATAAAAATTTTTTTGATTTTTTTTAGGAAATTTTGTCTACTTTAGTTTGACCCTAAATTTTTTGTTACATCGGAATTGCCAGTTGGTAATTGGTTGAGATCTTGGATTGGTTGATCGACACATAAAAGAAATATAAACAAGACACGTAACCACATGTAACTATATTTAAAGATGGATTCCTAAAGTATTTAGTATATAAATTTATATCCCTTTATATCCATGTCTTCTAGAGGACATAATTCCTGGCTCTTTATTTCAATAGGAACATAATTCCAAAAATAATTTATATAAATACTTAAAACTATAAAGAACCTTTGTAAGTAGTTTTTTTTTATTTCTTAATATAGAAATGAAAATTTTTAATAATAAGGGACATTTGAATTATGTCTTTACAAATAATTTAGGGACCTATCTTTAACTATGTCACACTACATTATAATTGATAATACAACTGGAAAAGGCAAAAGAGCAAGGCATTGAGGTGTTTTCTTAATAAGAAGTGATTTGAAGTCTTCCTCTTTCCTCTTGTGCCAATTTCTTTTCTCCTCAAAATCAAAAAAGGCTCTTATTAGGCTGACAATTGGTTCTGATGGGTTTTTATTTTACCAGCATAAACTTTTCTTTTCTCCTTTACTCTTTTCCTTTATTTTCTTAAAAAAAATAATTTTTATATCTTAGAACCACAGAGATTAAATTGAGATGACAGTCTTAATGAAGGGCTGGTATTAAGATTTTAGAATAACAAGAAATGTTTTTCTTTAATTAAGCAATTTTTTCATTTCTCTTAATTATATCTAGAGGCCAATGGCTGTTAACAGGTATATCATATAAATAAATAAGTTTAACCATTAGTATAGATATAATCAACACTTTATATATCTTGAATATTTTGTACTGAAGTCCATTCAATCCTACGAGAGCTTGAATATGAATAAACTTCAATATATAGCTTGATTAGATGTTAAAAAAAAAAAAAAAAATTTAAATTTTTATTTGCAAGATCAAAAATTATGCCATAACTATGTTATCAATTCTGATCTTTAACAATACAATTCTTATTATAATAGTTTAACTTGATTAAATAAACAAATAACTTTAATCTGATTAAGAACAAAAAAATATATACTATATTATCAAAAAATCAAGATTTCTTATATACTATTACTTTAATAATATACCCATTATATTAATTCCTATTTTTCTTCATTTAAATAATTTATTTTTTATTTTTTAATATTTATATAATAATAAAACTTTTTTTAATCACTTTAATTTACATTACATTCATAACCATTTTTTCAAATTTATTCTTGACAATAGGATTATTATTATTTTCTTAAGTTATATTTCAAAATCCAATGTCCTAAGCTTGAATATATTACATTAATTTTGATTAACCAAGCTTCGATCAGTTTCATTGTTTTTTATATATTTTAATACTGTAATCGTACAATTGTATAATTTCAAACAACAAGTTCCGTAAAATTAAGATTCTTTTAAATGGTAAGTAACTATAAAATAATTCATATGCTTTAAATAATTCGGATTTACCGGATAGCTAATTTTAAGAGCATGTAAAATTCGCCTAAAAACTATTTCTTTCCGTAGACTTATATATATGATTCTTGAAAATGCGAGAATTTTTGTAATTATGTTATACTTCCTACATTATTTATAAAAATTAAATATCGCATGAATTTCGGGAAATTATTAATGATATTATTAATAGTGAAGGTGCAAATGGTACAACAGTAATAATTTGGTTTCGAAGCGAAGCTTACCGGTAAGAATTTAATAATTAAAATCAACTAAACTATGTAAGATTGGAGGGTTTCAGATTTGAATGTCAATAAATTGATTCTATCTAGATTTTTACTGGTCAAATATATATCAACTATAGCATCGTGAATACTTATAGGTTAGAATTTCTTGGCGTCTTCCTGTTCCAACCATTTAGCATATTTTTCTAATCGAACTAATTCCTCTTCTTCCGTCTCATTAGATTTGGCTCCAGTTTTTTGATACTTTTGCTTTCCGTCAAAAATTTCCGCTTCAATACGACGACCAGCGAAAAAACGACCATTCATTTTCTAATGAATTGGATCAACATTAAATTTCAAAAACATACCGTTGATAAAAAAAAGGAAAAGAATTTATAATTTTATGTTACCAGTACACATGCTTCGGCACTTAATTGTTCCTTGAATTTTACTGATACAACGCCATCAGGTTCTTTCTAAAGTCGTGATTATTAAATTAGAATATTTAAATAACATTAAAATATCCTATCTGAATTTACTTACATCATAAAGAATAACGTTTGTAACTTCACCTAATTTTTCACATTCTTCTCGGATTTCTTGCTTTAAATCAAGAATCAAGCTAACATCATTCTATATGCATAAAATATAAATAAATATCGAATTCAACTTTTATATATGTATAAACAAGCGCAGTTGTTATTTAATTCACCTACCTCTAATTCTTCCAACGTAAACATATGTTTTAAGATCACAATTTTATTATATCGTTCTGCTTTTTTTCCGGTTTCAGTTTCGAACCAATCCAATTTTCTTGTATAAGAAAGAACTTAAATAAACTTTGAAAATAAAAGCTTCAAATAAACTAAAGTATTAAATAATAAAATAATATTTAAGATTACTTTTCAAGTTGTTGCAACTTTCTTTGTGCTTTCCGTTTATCAGATTTTCCACTGTTATTTTTGGTTTGACCCTCAACCGGAAGTTTCGGATCTTTCTCTTTGAACTGTGCCTATAGTACGGAAATGATTTTCTATCAATATTTATAAAACCAACATAAATAAACTACTAGAGGTAATTAAAAAATAGTACCTTTTGTACTCTTATTTTAGATGCTTCATTTGGGCGAAGATCGGTTTCATCCAATAATTGACAAGCAAGAGTTACAGATTCCTCTTTCAGATAAGTCACGAGAGCATCGCCTTTAAGACGATCTTGATCATCTTTATAAAGCTTTATTTTTGGACCGCCTTTAATAAAAATGACTGAATTAGAACAATAAATTAATTTTAATGAATTTGTAAAACTTTTAAAGAAATTAACCAGAGTTTAGATCTTCGAGCAATACTCCATATTTTGAGAATACTTCAGCTAATTCTTGGACAGTAACATCAGGTGGTAGCCCACTAACGTACACAGAAGTGTTTGTCGGTTTTTTCTTCTGCTTTTGCTTTTTGATATCTTGATCCGTCTTTGTTTTTAAATAATATTACACAAAATTGAATAACGGAAAAAAGAAAAATAGCCTATTTTACCAGAGACGTACATCATCCATGGTATATACATTCTTTCGTTTTACCCGTACTGGAGCAGCAGGTTCCTTTGGTGACGGACACAAAAACACAAAAAATTCGTTTTGTGTTGTCATTTGAAGTGACATTTTTCTTGGGACTTTGATTTTATCATGGTAAAGTATCTTACACTTTCGTTAACGCCAGGAACCGAATAAGCGAGCTGTTGGGTTTTCATCAAGACTTCTTCGTCCTAGAAAGGATTCCAATCGCTCAATGAAATTCAAGGAAATGAACTTGTTAAAATTTAAGAAATTATAGAAGCTTGCCACTTGTTGCCAGTTTTGTTGTGACTCGTTATATTCCCAGGTAAAACCATCGTCGCTTGTATATATCCATTTACCCGTTGCCTCAACAAAGTGCATTCGCGGATCGGAAGCAAAGTCTTCTGCCGCAGGCATTGAAGAACTAATTTCATCCTTTTTCATTGAATCGCTTTCCGACATTTCTAAATTACTTATCAAAGTATGTTGTGAATTGAGGAATTGTAAAAGTGAATGAAATTAATTTGCGTGATCTAGTTATAAACATACGATTGATAACATGCGTAAACAATATAATTAAATATTAAATACAATTCTAAATCTAAAAAACTTTTTTAGGGTTTTCCACTTTTCCTTTTTTTTCCTTTTTTCCTTTTTATGTATTTAATATTTACTACAGATAATTTTGAAAATTATCATCTGATTCTTAGTAAAAAAACATTTCTGTTTGGATTGTATAAGTGTCCTTTTATATATAATATGAGATAAAAAAGAAAGACTTGAATATATATATACAGTATATTTAAATAATAAAATTATAATTTTTATTTATTTCTTTTTTTTTGTCAATAAATTATTTTATATTTTTTTAAAAAAATTTTTTTTTTGGATTTTTATTATTTATTTTTATTTTTTAAAATAAATATGCATTAATACAAAATTTTTATTGATAATTAATATCTCAATAATATATCAAGTATCTTTTATAATGAAGCCATTGTGATCTAAAGATATTCTTTTAATGTTTTCTATATAAATATTTTAATACTATCTATTAAATATTTTTAATAATAGTTTATATACATGGATGGTTCAAAAAGTTTTGACACAAAATATATAAAATTTTTATTTACATAATAAATATTAATCTAACTATTTCATTTTTTCGATATACTCTTCTTTAATCTCTATACAACATCTCAATTATCTATACTATACATGTGATATAAATTATTTTGCTATTGACTCAATTGCCAAAATTCTCAAAAATAATTATATCTGACTCAATTATTTTATATATTTTAATAGTGACTTAATTAATTGTGTCAAATAATTGTATCAATTGCATCAAGGATCTATCAATTTCTATCACATGTATAATTTATATCAACTCTGAAAGCACTCAGTATACTTTTCTTATGATATACTATTGGCTATTGAATTTATAGTATAAGCAAGATTTTGAATTCTCTCAAACCATTTTTTATCAAATGTTTTTTAATTTTTGGAAATAAAAAAAAATCACATGGTGTTAAATCAGGACTATAAGAAGGATGAAGGAGCAATATAACTTGTTCTTCTTGAAGATACTTAGTAATAGCTTTTGACTTGTGTAGTGTAATATTGTCATAATGCAACATGACATTACGAATTATATTTCTGTTATTAATTTTTATAAACTTTTTGAATACTATTGGTAATATAGTTTTAGTATAATAATCACCCATAACTGTTTGTTCCTTTTCTACTACAATACTTATTATAATGTCATTTATTGAGAAAAAAATACAAAACATCTGTTTTTATTATTTTTTGCTGTTCTTGTGACTTGGGAATGATTTTTTTCCTGATTAATTCAAATTTTATTGTCATTTTTAGATGAAATTATAAAAAAATTAAATCATGATTCATTCCTAATAATAATATTTTGAAAGATATTATCAAGATATTCAAGAAGCTGTCTGGAAATTTCAATTTTCTTTTGCTTATTCTTATCAAAAAACACGTAAGAAATCCACTTTGTACATATTTTTTTGACAGAAAATTTATTATGCAAGATAGTTTCAATGCTTCCAATCGAGATGAAAACAACTTCTTAAATACTTTTAATGCTAATATAAGATTATTACTTATAAGGTCTTCAATAATATTAATATTTAAAAAAAATGTATTTCAAATTGATGATGTTCATATGTAGAAAGATACTTGATGTTATATCTAGATATTAATTATCAATAAAGATTCACATCGATGCACGTTCACCTTAAAAAAAAAAAAAATATTAATATTTAAAGATATAACAGCTTCATGAGAACATTCAGAATAGGATGCATCTTTGATACTTGATTGTTCAGCTTTGAATGATTCAATCCAGTGATAAATAGTATGTTTGAATAATACTTTATTTCCTTCAACAATAATTAACTTTTTATAAATGTCATTTATCCCTTTATTATTTTTTCCAGTATACTCAAATATAGTATTGTTGATTTTTGTGAATAAAATTTTCCATAGCTTTCAATAAACAAATTTCAAATTTTTTTTTTTTGATAATTATCAAATCAAAATAAATCAAGTTTTTTATATTTAATTAAGTGTAACTCAAGTTTTAATATAATTATTTATAGAGCTACAATGATTAGTGATTGCCAAAATATATATACTGTATCAAAACTTTTTAAACCATCCACATATTTATTTTTAAATCCATATATCAAATAGAATTTTTAATTAAAAGATTTTTTTCTTTAATTAGTTAGATCTTATCTAATATACTTTATTTAGTTTACATTTATATTTCTTTTATAAAAATTATTATTTATTTATTTTTTTACTCTTAATCAAACTATAAGTTATAATGTTTATTTATTTTTTTTTCTTATAATCAAATTATTAATAATAAATTTATTAATCCATTTATGAAAAGTAATAATACAATATATAGTATAATACTATATTAATGTTAAACTATTTTCATATAGCAAAATATTATCAATAAGTTATTTATAGATTTGTATGTAATTTTTGAATCCTTAATATTAAAGACTATTGTGTTGCCTATATGAAAATATTTATTAATTTTTTATTACAAGAAAGTAGATTTATTAAGCTATTACTATATAATATTAATTATCTATAAGTTATAATATTTATTGATCTTTTTAAACAGAATATATTAATATAATTTTATATTATAGCTAAATATTTTTATAAGCTACAATATATCTATTAATAAGTATAATAAATTTATATATGATTTTGAAATTCTTAATATCAAAATTACTGTAAAAGTCTTAAATAAATTATTAGTGATTTAAAAAGACAGTGAACTTTAGTGATTGTAATTTAAACGCCAACAGAGTTGGGACTTTATTAAGGTCAAAAGGGCATCCTTTTATATATGTCAGCTTCATACAACATAAAAATACATAAATAAATAAATATAAAAATACATATATCTCATCAGGAAATTTTTTTGTCGAAGATCTTCGCAAATCTTCGGGCGTAAACCTCCGGAGAAACTCCGTCGTCGTTAAAAGACTCTGGAGCAAAAAAATATATATTAACCTCCGGAGATCTTTGATTTATTTAATAGTAA